CTGGGAGCATGGGGGTCCCCTCCCTGCTTCCCCACAGCAGCATCTTAACCTGTGTCCCTACCCGGGTGCGACCTTAGGGCCTGGCACCAGGGAAACTGACTGGACTCGGTGACCTCACTGCTTTTTAGCAGCGGAGTAGAATATGGTATCAGGGCTTTAGAAGCCTGACTGGCTTGATGTTCTTTTTTTTTTTTTTTAAAGAATCAATAAATCACTGTTAAAACTAGATAATGAACACAAACAAAAAGAATGTAAAGATCACAAATAATCTTGTCGCCTAGAAATACAGTTGACTTTCTTTGTTTAATGTTTTGTTGTTTCCAGATGTTAAATATAATCAGTGGTGTAATGAACATTGTCAAGTGTACCTCCTTAACTGTACCACCCTTTCCCCTTTTCACTTTTTAACCTGTACATACGATGAGTACATTCCTGTAAAACGCGAATTCCAGCAGCACGCCGGTCTGGAGAGCAGGAGGCGGCGCGTCGCCCACCGCCGCCCGGTGCAGGCGGCCTGCGGGCCCTGGCACGTGGCCTTCAGACCCTCTCGTGAGTTTTGTGCACCTGTGGCTACGTTCGTGCAGAAGTGGGGCGAGGCCATCCCTCGTCCACACCCCCACCACCCTCGGTCTCCTCCGTGGACAGACGGCGTCTCCTCCTGACCTGACCCTGCAGTGCAGCGAACCCACCTGGCGGTCCCTGGTGTGTGTCAGTGGCTCAGAGCCCGGCCGTCCGGGTGCAGGGTGCGGCGTGCGGACTCAGGGAGGGACACTTTCCTTCAGCCTTGAGATACGCTGGCAGCTCACCCCAGAGTGTGAGGCTCAGTCCGTGAGAGGCCTGGTCTTTCTGAACAAATCCTGTTGTTTCTGCCTGTGCACTTGACATTTTTAATTTGTTTACACTCCGTGTGTTTTTTGATAGAATTTCTTTGTAATTATTTGACTCTCAGTCTTCGCGTTGTGATGTTTTTGTGTTGGAGTCTGGAAAGGCTCCCATCGAGTCCAGGATGGCTGATGGTGCCCCTTGCTCTTTTTTTCTTCTGTTTGACTTTTTCATTTAAAGTTTTAGCTCTGCATCTGTATTATGTCTTCAAATGTAGAACAAGGCAGGAATCTAAACTCATGGTTTTTCGGTTACTGTGTCAGGATTGGGTTTGGCTGCAAAGAGGGAAAGTACCGGGGTGATGACGCCCCGACCCCACGGGGTGCAGCCCCCACCCCGCGCCACACGGCCGCCTGTCTCCTAGGTCAGTGCTGCAGGGCTGCGGGCGGGAGGGCGGAGGGCCGTGAGAATCCCTCTGAGGAGGCCTCCCCGGGGCTTCCGCCAGGGCTCGCTGGTGCCTGGAGCTGCAGGAGAGGGTGCTCGTTGGCTCCGGGCACCCTGAGTGGGCAGCCAGCAGCCTGCTGCGTGAGGCAGCGGCCTCGGCCCCTCAGAAATTGGGGGGCTGCTAGCTTTGAGAGACCATGTCTCTGATCCATCATAGAGGAGATGTGTCCATGGTGGTCACAGCATAGATGTTCCCTTGGAGATTTGGAGGCTGAATGCTGGTGGGCTGACACGTGCGCCAAGAGGTGCAGTGATTGACTTGCTGCAGACAAGGAGACTTCAGCGTGGCTTTTATGTGGACGTCTGGTCAGCCGTGGAGCACTTTGCGGTTTTGATATGTGAGAAGAGTAAATGTCTTCATTTCATTTTTGAGTAGAAAAGATCAAAACTTTTCATGGACATAGTTCTTCATGAAGGAAACGCTGGAGAATTGAGTGTGTGTATGTCCAGTATTGGAAGTGATCAACTCACAGAACCCCTGCCTGTGTCTGGGGTTGGCGGCTGGAAACATGGCTGATGGCACTTAATTGTGAGTGTGTCATTCTCACTGTTGTATGTGGGTTCTTAAAGTGATGAAAACTCCTTGTAACGCAGTAGCGAATAAAGTAATCCCAGCTCTTTTATTTAGCACTGTTTACATTTTAAAAAAGGATAGTTGGCCATTTAAATGACTTCTGCTGACAAATCAAGTTATCCAGTACAGGGGTAAAATATTTCTTGAAATGCCAATTTTTGATGACATTGTGTAGGGAATACAGATCTTAAATGACGAGGTGGTAAGCAAAGATAATGTAATTTATCAAAACCTGATTCATTCCACGCATGAATTGATCGAACGCTCACAGTGAATGAGCCTGTTCCGGTGCTGGAGGTCAGGCCGTGAGCAGGTGAGCCCCTTTCCTCCGGGAGGTCACCTTCCTGGGGCGGAGACAGGCTCCAGGCCATCACCACACGCCTGAAGGATGAGGGGTGGGGAGGGAGGGCGCTGGTTCTCCATCCTGCGGGCTCTGTGGATTTGCTCTGATCCACACCTCCACTGCCTGACCTCCGCCCCACCCCATCCCAGCCCTCGGTGTTTCCTCCCTCCTCGCAGAGTTCCCCGGAGACCCGGGCCAGGGAGGCGCTGCAGGGCCTTTAGAATCTACCCCAACGCTTGATGGTTGTTAGACCCTCCTGAGTCTTCCTGGCCCAACGGTGCTGTCACACTGTAGAGCCGCTGGTCCCTGCATGCCTCGGAGACCAGCAGGGGCTGGGCGGGAGCCTTCTTGTCCAGCCAGGCCACCAGCAGTATCCCTTCTGTTCCCAGAAAGCAAAGCAAAAACACTCTTCTAGTATTTGTTACAGCAGTTGCTAACTTTTAATACATATGTCAGATAGGCATGTCATTAGCATCTTCTTGGGGGCACCACGCTGATGTCAGGAGGCGTGCGTCTTGCTTGGCACTGCTTGGCTTTGGGACTGTGGGCACACCTCCTCCTCACCGTTAATCTCTCCTGAGACACGGAGGGCGGTGTGCCGGGCTGCCGCCTCCATGCCAGGCAGGGCAGCAGGCCGCTGACAGACGGGCAGGGTCTGTGCGCTGCTCTGTCCTTTCCCGGTGCACCCGGGTCCCCGGGGCAGGGCGCTGGGAAGCCTTGGAGCCACTTTTCGATTCTTCTGCATGTGGCAGTTTATTCCCCTCTGCAAGTGCAGACTGGCTGTGACATTTTTGCAAATTGGAATGTCCTGTGTCCTCGATGCTTTAATGTGTTACATTTGTGGGATGAGGATAGACTCTCAGCACACTGGCTTTGGTATTCTTCCGTGGCGCTGGGCCAGTTGCTTATTCTGGGCCCATATCCCTGTCTCTATGTCTCTCTATGTGTACATGCCTGTTACCGGCACTGTTCTGAGCTGGAGGAGAGCCTGTGCTCTTAGTGCTTCCGATGGACTATGTTCTCCTCCAGGCTGGCGGCTGGCCCCGCGCACGAGCTCTTCTCCTGAGGAGCCCAGTGCCGCCTTCCTGACAGTTCTGCGCAGTGACAGTGACTGACACAGGAGACCTGCCAGATGCCCTTGTAACCCGGGAAGGGTCCCCTGGCTCTTCCCCGGTGCGGGCGTTCACCTGCTGGCAGCATTGCCGAGTGGTGGGAATTGTAGGGGACACCTCTGTCCTGACGCGCCTGCAGAGCTGCTGGAAGAGGTGCGTCAGATGCTTAGGATGTAGTTGGTGCTCGGTGGTTGTTGACATGATAGAAGCTTTAGCCCCTAAATTGATAGATATTTTGGAAAAATGACTGCATTTTAATGTTGCATGACTTCTTACGTTTTTAAATTTACTAAAAACTGGACTCATGGCTGAATCAGCAGCATACTTGGGGTGAAGATTTGTTTGATTAAAAAAAAAACTTTAACAGGATAAATTAGGTTCCCACTCAGTGGTGGCGCATCTGGTACTGTGGCTGCACCTTGAACAAGGGTGTTGAGTATTTATTTCCTGCTGGAGTCCCCTGTGTGCTTTCAAAGACTTCGAGTAGCTTTTAGTGTTAGGAGTGGTCGCTGCAAATGCATTGTGGGGGTGGGGGAGGCGATCCCGCAGGTGAGAGCTGAGACTGGCCTTAAACCAGAGTCGGTGAAGATAAGATGCTAAATGCTGGGGCCTCCCCTTGTAGCTCGACGCTAACGGGGCCTGTTGAGAAGCAGTGCCTGCTGTCGGGCGGGCTGCTTTGCTTGCTGTTGAGCTGACGTCGTATCATTATTGAACTGATTTTATTCTATCTTCTCTTCCTTACTGATAATCAAACTTAGAGTGGAGGCAGGTGGATTTGACTTGATGTAATTCCTAGGGTTGGATTATTTGCTTCCCCATCTTTAATCCCTAAAAGTAACTGAGGATGACCTGTCTTTCCTTCCTGTAAAAGGAGTCTGCGGCCCAGATCCTTGGCTGAAACTTGGGGACCAGGGGACTGGCTTGTCACCCACGGGGCTGACAGAGGAGTGGCTTTTGAGCAGGGGTGTGAGGTGGCTTTCAGAGCTCCTTCTTCTCCCCTGAAAACACTGCTGTTGAGATCTTAGTAGTAAAGGGGAGGGGAGAGGGCTGTACTTAGTCCCACCCCCACGCATTGGTGGTGTCCTCCCGTCGGAGTCTTGAGGGGGGCACACTTGAGTGTTGAATGGAATGTCTCTCTGATGTGTCACGAGGCGCTCGGTACTGGATTCAAGGCCTTGTCGGCAAGTGGGTTGGGCAGACCCTGGTGCTGAGACTCAGGGCTGCCAGCCAGGATCCAGGACACGTGTCTTCCTGCTTCACCTGTCTCAGACCCACCTGCACCCTTTAGCGAGAGGCGCCAAAAGGTGCCCCTGGGGCCCGAGCACAGTGGCATGGGGTGACTGGTTTCCCTGCGCTGCGGCGGCTGGAATCACCCTTCATTTTTCATGGGCGGAGCTCTCAGTTTCTCTTCTGTAAAGTCACTGAAATGTTTCTTTTGAAATGCCAGTGGAAAGTTTTGATATTTATATCAACAAAATTCACTCGTGTTAATCTGTGATGCTAAACCACACTGTGTAATTAGTTTTCATTTCATTGCATACTTTCAGAGGAAAAAAGACACTGAATTTTAAATGGTCAGAAATATATTTCAGTGTCACGTTGATCTAATAACAGAATGAGAAAGTGTGGTCAGGCTTAATTGTAACTCCAATGTGTTTCTCTTTTGTCCGCTAGACTTCATGAGGAAATAATTGACTTTTATAACTTCATGTCCCCTTGTCCTGAAGAGGCAGCCATGAGAAGAGAGGTGGTGAAAAGGATCGAAACCGTGGTTAAAGATCTCTGGCCGACGGCTGATGTGGGTGCCTTTTCCTTGCTTTTGTGTCCCTGTGAGTCAGTCTTTGGGAGCCCCGACCCGCTGTCTTTGGCCCGAGGCAGTGGTCTGCAGCTGTGGTCCTGGGATGGGCAGCGCCCGCCCCCGGGAGCCTGTTAGAGATGCCCCACCCCGTCCCTGCTGGACCCCAGGCCCTGGGCGGGGGCGGGACCATGACAGGGAGGCTCTGACGCCTTCAAGTGTGAGAACTGTTGGCCTAAAGGAATTTTTTTCCTGGAATAATGTGATTATTTTTCTTGTTTTAAGTTTACCTTAAGATGAGAAGTTTTACCTCTTCCCTGAATCACACATGATAGCATGCGTTCAGGGCTGTAAACCTGCAAGTATTTCGTCACACACCGCCTTTCCAGGGGGTGAACGCGTGTTTGTTGAGAGGCTGCCCAGGGCACTTGGAGTGCGTGTGAGGGCCGCAGGAGACGGTCCTCTGGCCCAGGCTGGTGATGAGGCAGTGGGTGAGGCGGCAGCGCAGCTCCCCTCCTCCTTTAAAATGACACACGACAGTTTTGCTTTGCATTTCGGTGCCCTGGGACAGAGCCCTGCCCTGCGCCTCCTGTGGGCTTGAAGCCATTGTAACCATCCCCGGCTTTGAGCAGTTGTGGTGAGACCAGTAACCGTTATGTCTCTTAATTTTGAGTTTTTAAAAATTCCTTTTGGGGCAGGTCTTTAACTTAAAAGACTGAGAGGATTTTGTGTGATTGGCTTTGGGTCCCCTCCCCCGAGAATCGGGTGAGAAGTGGTGGAGGGAAGGCTGAAGACAGATCTGAAGATGCTCACTCTTTCTTTCAGGTGCAGATATTTGGCAGCTTTAGTACAGGCCTCTATCTTCCAACCAGGTGAGCACCAGATGGCCCTGCACAGGTGTGTGTGTGTGTCACTTAGCTGGGGTGGTGGGGTCTGTACATGTGTTAAAGGCTGAGAGGAGGTTACTTGTATTCAAATCTAAGGCTAAAAATGTGAGCTAGAGGAAAGCGCATGGAGCACAGAGGGAGAATCACAGGAAATAAAAGTTTAACTTCCTGTTGTGATAATTGATTGCTTTGCATTTTTCTTCTTGCACTTAATTTGATGGGGTGCAAGGATGCAGGCTCCCAGGAGCGCAGAGAAGATGAGTGAGCAGGCCGTGGGAGGCAGACGCAATAGAAAACGTTCCGAGGTTCTTGGATATATTTTTGAAAAATTGATTTTATGTTTTAATGAAGATTCAAGAAAATTCTGTTTAGTATTTTGTGAGGATTTTTACTGGATAGGAAACCATCAAACTAGTGTGCATGCGAAAGCCGTTCTCCAAGGTTTCTCCATCAAGAACTCTCTAATCTCTAGTTAATTTTACATGCACTGTTTATTAAAAGTTTATTTTTCTCTAACCCACTGTTAACACTTGGAGACTAAAGAGGCCATAATTTCAGGATTTGGGTTGGCATTGGCTGGGCAAGTGGCGAGTTGAGCAGATTCTACATGTCTGGGATTTGGGGTCAACAAGAGTGACCAAGTGGTTACAGCACAGACATGAGGACCAGGCGACCTCAGAGGGCAGTGCCTTCACCCCAGTCCCCCGTTACTGTGTGATACGAGAGACTCAGCTGTTCCCTTTCCATCTTTGTTGCAAATAGTGCAGGACCTGCGTGTTCTCTCGCTGAGAGGAGATGCTGGATGGGATAAGATACGCCATCGGAGGAGCTGCAGGCCTGTGCGTGATGCTGGTCACCCCAGACATGCGTGTTTCCATGTGGGGAGGCGAGCAGGGGGTCACACTCGCTTTTTTGCCTTTCAGTGACATCGACTTGGTGGTCTTTGGAAAGTGGGAGCGCCCGCCTTTGCAGCTGTTGGAGCAGGCCCTGCGGAAGCACAATGTGGCTGAGCCGTGCTCCATCAAGGTCCTGGACAAGGCCACGGTACGTGCGTGCGGGCCCCGCCCAGCCGCGCGGCTCTCTCCTCACCCGCGGTGGCCCGCGGCCCTGTGGGGTTGGCTGGTAGTTTTTAACAGAAGTTAGTGGTCATGATTCTGAAGACTTCCCTACTTCTAGTGTAAATGTGCTTGTATTTTTTATAGTAGGATCACCACCTGAGGATGTGTTAAGAGTGTGCAGTACGAGTTGTGAGGGCACTGACCTACGTGATCGGGTCACCTTCTGTGAGGGTGTGTCGGGAGGGGATGTTAATATTAGAAACGAGGCGTGTTCAGACGCTGCCCTTTCAGCACGTGGCTGAATGATGTGAGCTGTGGCACTTCCTACACAAAGATTACCGTTTGCTACTTCAGAAAGAAAAACCTGTTCCCTTTCACTGTTAAAAAATGTACATGTGTGAAAACTGTACTTCTCTTGGAGAGAAGTTGGAGGATGAAACCGCTTTTGACGTGTGTGTCGAGTGTATCCAAGTCCGGGTGACAGACAGCTCAGACTGTGCCCCTGGCCTGCTGTGTGATGGTGATCAGACCTCAGCCGTGCTGTCTGTGGCTCTGCCGTTCGCTCCAGCATGTTGGCCTCTTGGGGACAGTGCAGTGGGTGGTGGTCTCTGACCAGGTACCCTTGTAGAGGAGCTGAGGAGGCCCAGCTGGATCGCCCGGGGGCCCAGAGCTTTCTGGAGGCTGGACCGTGCAGAGTGGGTGTTACAGGAGCTGCGTGGTCACGTGGCTTCACTGCTGGCACACACCTGCTGCTGCTGTAGGTCCTGTGTGGTTGGGGAGCAGTGTCCACCACTGCCCCTGCCCATGGCGCAAGCTGTCGCCGGGCAGCCCTCCGCTGGTCATGGGCTCTGAACCCAGCACGAGGGTTGTGTTTGAGGAGAAAGCTTGTCTATTTTGAACCACCACCAAAAAGTGTTGTAGTATTACTTCTGATCTCCAGAATGTGGGAGTTCAGCCTGTGAGAGAGTGAGTGTGTGTGTGTGTGTGTGTGTGTGTGTGTATTTTGGGGGGAAAGTCCACCACTACAGAGAAGGCAGGGTGTCGTGGCTGGGATGGTGTCAGTGGGGTTCCTCTGTGCGGAACCGGCCACGTCCTGGAGGGTGGACGCTTGAGCTGTGTTCTGTGGGAAAGCGTCTTGTTTTCTCTGCCTAAGTCTTGGTCCACGCTGGCCATAGCGCCCCCTGCCTGCTGGTCTGGGCGTGTCCTTGGCAGCACGCCCTTGGTGTAAGTTTAGAGCCCAGATGGGGTGTGCACTGAAGAGCGTGTTCCCGCGTTGACTTCACATTTTAAACCTTTCATTAGACCTGATTGTTTGGTGAAGGGAATGTCCCTTTTTATTCCTTGGAGGCAGCTTTTCTTCTGAAAGAACACATCTCTGTGTGGGGGAGTGGTCTGAATGGGCAGCTTTTATGAGGCTGGTTTTGAGTGCCTTTTGGTGATAATTCTTGTCAATGAGAGTATTTCCAAAATAGCCTTTCATTCTGATTTTCAGGGAAAATTTTTTTAAGTTAAATTGTCTTAAAGAGTGAAAACCCAAAGTAGAGTTGTTCAGAGAAACATCAGTACAAAAAATGTTTAAAAATGGCTTTGAAGTTACTTTGAATGGCTTTCAGAAATCCTAGCAAAGGTGGTTGCTAGACAAGCTCTTCCCATCACTGGGCACTCGTGGTGGGATGGGGCCTTAGCCAGTTTCCTCTCGTGGGGGCAGGCTGTGAGCCCAGGGCTTGTGCAGAGTGGGTGTTTGATGCTTGGTCCCCAGTGAGGCGCTGGTCGGGCCAGCAGGGCTGGGCAGCAGTGAGCACGAGCTGTTGTCAGGACTGGGAGGTGGCCTTGGGGACTCATGGGGTTAACGCTGGCCAAGTCCCTTGTCTCCTCATCCTCACCGTCTGGAGTTCATGATCTCTAAGCTCCTTGTGTGAATAAGGGGAGGAACCCTCTGTACAACCTGGGAACATTCTGATGCCTGACCATGGAAAATATTACCTATTAAAGCATGATTTTCTAAATTAAATCTTTGCAGGTACCAATAATAAAACTTACAGACCAGGAGACAGAAGTTAAAGTCGACATCAGCTTTAACATGGAGACTGGGGTCCGGGCAGCAGAGTTCATCAAGAATTATATGAAGGTGCTGTCATCTGCAAGTTAACACAGTAAAAATAAGGGGCTTGTTATGTGGGTATCATTTTTCTTTTAGATGTTAAAAAATTTAAAATACTGATAGTCTTTAGTGAGAGAGACTGTAACAGTTGAATTTATTATAGGATGTTAGTTCTAGTGATGCTTTGAAATTACATAGCTGTCTTGCAGATTTGCTTTCCTTGGCTAATGGTTTCATACACTTGAGCATTATTTTAGAGAGCTTTGTTGAAATAGTCTTTTTAGTTGTTATGCAGTGGCCATCCCTGTAGCTCAGTGTGCCGATTTGCAAGTTTAGTTCACTGCAAGTTGAATGCATCATAGTGGCATTAGATTTGCTTCACTGTGGATGGTCTCGGTGTCTGAGGACGGGATAATGGACTTGTTTGTTGATGGATTTCGGACTCTGACCAGGTGTGTCCAGTTAAACAGAGAGTCCTTCCCTCCTGTTACAATGGAAGTGATGGGACAACCCTGCACCGTCACTGTATCCGACCCCTTCCCACAGTTTCAGGGCCTTGCTCTCCAGTTTTCTCCTTTCCTCTGCACCATCAGGCTTATCTGAAGGATCATCTCTGCCCCAGCAGAACAGGAGAAACACTTGAAGCTTCCACGCCCCACCACCCCCTTCTCCGGCCCCTTGGCGTTTCCTTGTTCCCACCCCGCCGCCTCCACCTTGTCCTGCATTTGGTGATGCCATGTTCTGCTGCCTTCCCGTCTCACGGGCTGTCCCCCCTCCACCTGTCTGCTCCTCTCCCGGGTGCCTCTGAGCAGTGGCTGTTTGCACACTGGTTCTAGGACCTTCCCTTGCCCACTGCGCCCCCGCCCACAGAGCTTACGCACGGCTCTAGCGAGCAGGGAGCTCCCTGAGGAGGGCCCTTATTCAGGCCCAGCCCCTGTTGGCCTGGGGTCTCCATGTGGCTTCCCCTCCTCATCCCTGCTGAACTGTAACCTGGAGAGGGGCTCCCCAACCAGACCTTAATGAGCCCCTCAAGTAATTCATTCTCAGGCCCCTACAGTTTGAGGATGATCGGCCTAGAGCCTTGGGAGGGGCGCGAAGTCCGTTTCCTGTCTGCACGTGCAGTCTGCTGTGTCAGAAGTCTTCAGAGCTGCGTCAACTAACCGGATGATGTTTTTCTTTTGCAATTTACAGAAATACTCGTTGCTGCCTTACTTGATTTTAGTGTTGAAACAGTTCCTCCTGCAGAGGGACCTGAATGAAGTTTTTACAGGTGGAATTAGCTCATACAGCCTCATTTTAATGGCCATTAGCTTCCTGCAGGTGAGTGTGTTTCCTCTTGAGAACCATTGATAATGAGGCTCATGCAGGAGTATTTCTTCCTGAGGTTCTGATCAGTCTCTTCATGAATTCAGTTCCTTGTTGTCTCTACACTGTTCTGTTTTGGTGTAGTAGAAATTGACTTTTAATTTTCATGGTAAAACTCTATTTTGAGCAATATTTTTTTCCTTTTGCTCATTTATAGCTTTTTTTGTATCTGATTTAACTGGTTCTATCATTTAATAGAATATTGATCTAATCTTAAAGAAACTCTTTACGTGTAGAAAAATTTCATGTCTTGATAGACACTGAAAAACTTTTTCTTGGTTCTTGACTGTGATTTATATTGAAAAATTTGTCTCAGAAAAAAATTGGGTGCCATATATGATAAAAAAAAAAGTACTGAAGAGAGCCTTTTTTCTCAGTGATTAAAAAAACCAGTATTTTGTCTTTAATTATATTGCCCTTACTTTGTTGAGTGCCACGGAAAAACTGTCAGTAGAAAACCTACCTGAGTATTAAATGTTGTATTAAGCTATACTTACACGATTTTAACTTATAAAATAACCTCTAAGTTAATTGCAACGTTAATTATCCCGTTTATATCTACTTGCATGAAGGAGTCTCTGTTCTTTACAGAATCTGGCCTGTGTTTTAGCTGCACAGCTCTGTTCCTCAGTGTTTATCATTAGTTTTGTATTTGTGGTTGTGCTTAGGGTTTTATGTCCAGAATTGGGTCATTTTTCTCAGCATCACTAATACCTCTGACGGCCAGTGGAACTCTGGCCGACCCCTCCCTGCCTGATTCCCCGGTACATCCTCTCACAGCGGCTCTGAGCACGGGCAGTGGAGCTCCTCGTCTTGTTTCCTCACAGCCTCAGTCCCGCTGCCTTGTCCTCTCTTCTCACCTCCAAGACGCTGCCCTCGTGGTCTTCCCCAGTGTTTGGACGTTATTTTGAACTAAACACAACCTTATGTTTTTTAAATTTATTTCCTCCCATTGTCCTGATTTGAACTATCCCAGTAGCCTTGTAATTGTGCCTCCTTTCACGTGCACTTTGCTGAGCTCTGGGCCAAGCGACCTGTGGAGGCCACACCAGGCTGGGTGGGTCACCACTGGCACCTCACGTCCCTTGGTGCCTTGTCCTCTGCCTCACAGCTGTGACCATGTGGCGTCTGCGTTCCTTTCATGGCTGACTAGGGTCAGAAGGCCCACGCTTGAGCTGGGTGGGCTCTCAGGCAGTTGATTTTGACTAGAAGGCAGGGAAGGGGTCAGGAAAAAGTAGGAGTGCTGCCCTGAGCCTTGGGAACGTCTTCTGAACCCTGAAAACACCTGCAGGCTTCAGAGGCCGTACCTCCTCCTGGAGCTCTGCATTAGGAGTGCTTCCAGACACAGTTCGCATGGACCTGACCGCCTTGCCCAGGGCGGCGCCGTGCAGTGTACCTTCCTGTGCGGCTGCCAGAGCTCCCGGTCCGCTCCGTCCAGCAGGACCGCCGCGAGCCACGTGCGCCTGCTGAGCGCTGGCCACGTGGCTGCCAAGGCCAGCGAAGTGAACGTTTAATGTGCTTTAATTCATGTAAGTGTAAATAGCCCCACATGGCTCGTGGCCATCACAGTGGGCAGTGCAGGTCTGCGCTGCTCAAAGTCGTGGGCCTCTCAGATCCATGACACTTGGAGAGGTCAGTAGATGGGGGCTTCAGGAAAGCGCAGTGTGGAACCGAGGTCAGTGCTAATCTGCATGCAAGGCAGGGATGTAAGTTTGCTGTAAATATTATGACACAGTGCTGATTACCTTGAATGGTTAAAATTAATCCTTTCATGTTGTGGTTTTATTCACAGTGTGATACTGGTCAGTCTCATACTGCCCCCTGTTGGTTCTGTCAGAGTAATGGAATTAAGATCTGAATTTGTAAAATTACCTCCACCATCTAGGTGACTAAATTGTGCAGAATATCATCCACTTATTTATGGTATTTGGGAATTTATGATGAACCAGATGTCTGTGTTTGTAGACAGTTGCTCTATGGATTAAGAACGTGAAAGAATTGAAGTATAATTTATAAATCCAGAAAGGTTTGTTTCTTTTGAATGCTCTTGATTGACACAGGATATATGTCAATCAAGAGCTCTGTTAGCGCCTGTTAGCTCCTGGCTCTGTTAGCGCCTCCTGGCGGCACCAGAGCTGCTGAGCACCCGAGGGCCACCCGGGCCACCCTCGCAGAGGCCACGAGGTAGTGGGCTCTGCCGCGCACGGGCATCTGCAGGAAGCGACTGGGATCCATACAAACTGCAGGTGTGTTGTTTTCACAGTTGCATCCAAGAATTGATGCCCGGAGAGCTGATGAAAACCTTGGAATGCTTCTTGTAGAATTTTTTGAACTCTACGGAAGAAATTTTAATTACTTGAAAACTGGTATTAGGATAAAAGAAGGAGGTGCCTACATTGCCAAAGAGGAGATCATGAAAGCCATGACCAGCGGGTACAGACCGTCGATGCTGTGCATCGAGGACCCCCTGCTGCCTGGTAAGGACGCCCTGCCGCCCCGGCCCCAGCCCTGGGCACCGCGCGCACCTGCCGGCCCGAGAACCCAGGGCGTCGTTTGGTCTGTTCTGATGCAGGTTCCCGTACTAACAGGCTTAATGGCTGTGCATTCAGAATTCCCTGTTGATGCTTCTTATTAACTTACTGTGAAAGTAAATGTAGAAAGTGAGAATTAAGAAAAAAAGAATTTTTTCTGACTAGAAAAGTATTCCATACCCGTCATAAGCCATCTGCTTCCCAGCGGTTTGTCACGTGGAAAAGCCAAGCATGCCTTAGTCCCTTGCCTTCTGATGTGGTTTTCTCCAGTGTTTCCTCCATGGGTATTGACAGTTCTCACCGCCTCCTCATTATCTAGGTAGTGTCACATAATACAGGCAGATTTGCAGCTTGTGATTTTACCGGACAGTATCCCCGAACCCAGTGTCCTGCGTGTCTGGGGTGTGTTCCATTGTAGGGGCTGCTGCCTTGAGCCCTGGGCCGTGTTCCTGGTTTTATTCCTTTCAGCATATTTACACCCACAAGTTTGGTGACAGCCTTTTAAATCTTTGCCTGTCTGATGAGACCATGCAGTGTACATTTTCATTCAGTTTACATGTCTTTACTGACAAGTGAGGTTGAACGCAGGGCTCTGTATCAGTCCCACAAATGGTCGTTGAGTGTTGCTGAGGTGACACACTGTTCGTCCTGTTGGTGGTAAAGTCAGTGACACTGTGACAGGGACAGAAAGCTGGTGGGGAATGTTGGCTGCAGATGCACTGCTGGCTGTGTTTCCTTCTGTGTGAGTTCATGTGCTTTGTCCGTCCGTCTTTGCAGCTCTCACTGACCTCAGGAGGCCCCTGTGTGTCTGGGAAGCCTTTCTTCGTCATCATGCTGCACTTTTGTCTTGCATCTGTATTTGTTTTTTTTTCCCTATTGTTTAGCTCATACATATATATATTTTTAATATTCTCAAATTTAATGATTTTTTTGTTTTATTTTATGGCTTCTGGGGTATGAAATTTATTTCTTAAAAATATTTTGAAAGAAAACATACTACTGACTGTTCTCTTCTGTTTGTAAACGACATGGTCCATGCGGTGCTTTCTCAGCAGTGCTTTCCCAGCAGCCCAGCAGGACAGCTTCTCATCACTGACTTGTCTGTGTTGGATCAGTTAAACGGCCAGTCAAGTCCTTCAGTGTTTGCTGAAACACACTTGAAAATGAAAACCCACATAGTCACTGGGTTTATAGCATTAAATCTGGAAAAGAGATAAGTTCTTAGAATGTCTCCTTAAAAAAGCCCTCACCTACCTGAACTGTGAGGCACGAGTTATGTGTAAATTACAATTGGAAACTCTGCTGTTCTTAACAGAAGTCAGCTCCTGGACTGTGGCCCGCTTGGTGACTTCAGTGACAGCTTCGTTTTATTTGCTGTCCACCTGGTCCTCAGCACCCTGAAGTTCAGCCTGGCACGTCTGTCCTAGAGGCGTTGCCCTCCCGGGTCTGCCCAGTGCTGAGCGAAGTCAGGGGCCCCAGGCTAACTGGCCCCTTGGGCAGGCTGTGACTGTCTGATTAAGATTGTACTTTGGCTTCACTGAGATTTTTGCCACCTGGAGGAGGGGTGACCTGACTGTTTCGTGAACTGTCACTTTGTCTCTGTGAATGACATCTCTGCTAGTGGAGGGGGACACTGACTGGTCTGATGACGGTGAGATAGGCTCTCAGCCCGGGAACGCCGTGGGCTGCCCACGGGCGGTGGGCAGCGTGTTTGCTGGTGCTGATCCGGCCGGCCGTGCTGCTGGGGTGAGGGCTTCCCTGTGGCCCAGGAGAGAGGCTCGCCCACATTTGGGAACGGCTCAGGCTCAGATGCGGGGCGTTTTACAGCTGCCTTTCTGTTCCAGGAAACGACGTTGGCCGCAGCTCCTACGGGGCCATGCAGGTGAAGCAGGTGTTTGACTACGCCTACATTGTCCTCAGCCACGCCGTGTCACCCCTCGCTAGGTCCTACCCCAACAGGGACTCGGAGAGGTAACTGTGCCCCGGCCCCGCGACACTGGCTCCCTTACCTCTGCCCTTTGCTTCCATGAAGCTTGGTGAGGGACGTGTTGTCGTGTTTTAGTAGAACTTGAAGTTACTGGTAAAGGAAGGCCTTTCTGGAGTTCAGGATGGTCATCCACGGTCAGGAGCTGAAAATTTCTTATTTGGGGAGTTGAGCTTTTCTTTAGGGTGTTTGCTTCGGGGAGGTTGAAGCAGGGGGTAGTGGTGCTCCTGGCAGGCTGTGCAGGCAGCGGGTTCTGAGCCTGGCATCGGTGAGGGACGTGGGCTCCCAGGGCCTCCAGCCACGCACCGTGTTTCCAGCAGAGCTTGGGGCCCGGGGTGGGTGCTTGGTGTGTCCGCTTTTGCCCGTGCAGTGAGAAGTGGGCACAGGGGACCTCTGGGATCACTGAAGACTTAAACAGTGTTCTGTAGATGTAGGTTCATGGGCTTATGCGTCAGGGCCCAACTTTGTGCTGTGATCTCAAGGTGTGTTTGGACTCAGACGTCAGCAGTCGTACGGCTTTTGTAAAGTTGTCTTAGCTTCTTCGCCATCGTTCACTAGCACAGTGCTGTGCTGTGTGAAGTGGCCCCTGGTGACCCCCCGTGTCCTCTTGCAGCACGCTAGGGAGAATCATCAAGGTGACCCAGGAGGTGATCGACTACCGGAGGTGGATCAAGGAGAAGTGGGGCGGCAGGGTCCACGCCGCGCCGGGCCTGGGTGAGAGGCGTCCGCGCGGGAGGTGCCCTTGCCCTGTCCCTCAGTGGGAAACTGTTCACACTAAGAAAACAGCCCGTTTTCTGTCAGTTTACTTGAAAACTGTAAGGTGTAGGCTAGTGCTGTCCAGTGGGAATACATGTATGCCGCACATGGAATTTCAAAGTTTCTCGTAGCAGCATTGCAAGGGTGAAAAGAAACAGGTGAAATTAATTTTAATAATACATGTTATTCAACTTAATTCAGAATACTAACATTTGAACAAGTAATTGGTATAAAAAGTTACTGAGATTTTTTGGTAGTGCACCTTTGAAATCCAGTGTGTATTTATCATGATCAGGGTCCTAATTTTTAACAGAAACACTTGACCTGTATTTAGATTTCATAAAATTTACAGTTGAAAACTATATCTGTGCTGTTTCAAGCATATTTAAGTGCTTTCCAGTAACTGGAATGTAATTTTAAAAGTTAATTGAAAAGAAAAGTTAAGTTAGAAATTTAGTTTGTCGGCCTCAGGGGCAGGTTTAGGTCTCGGCGGGGCCTGCAAGGGTGGCTGAGGCTCTGCTCCCTCCGCAGATGACAGGATGAAGACAAAAGAGCGCGAGGGTGACGCGGAGCAGCCCCAGCGCCGGGACCCCGCGTCGCCCTATGGCCCGCGCCTGACCCTGTCTCTGCCCAGCCCCCAGCTTCTGTCCTCGGGCTCATCCGCCTCCTCCGTGTCTTCGCTTTCTGGAAGTGACATCGTGAGTGTGTCCTCTGGGGGTGGTGGGTGTGGAAACCTGTAGCAGTGAGTTTAAGCGGCCCCCCTCGTTCTCACTTTCCTGTGTGCCTATGGCCACCCCCAGGCTGTGCCCAGCCGTCCCCACTCTGCCACGAGCCTCCGGTGACAGTGGGCGCCAGTCTCACGGGTGTGAGGCCCCTCGTAAGCAGCGGTGCCGTGCACGGGGGCTGCCGTGGACTTCCCTGAATTGTTTTTTTTAAAAACTTATTTGGAGATGAAAGCTGCGGTCTGGGTGTCTCTTCTGCGCTTCCTCTCTGATGTTCTTCAGTCTTGATGTGACTTGAAGGAGACTTGTGTGGGTTGGGGCTGCCTGTATCCTTGTAACCTGCGGTCACTGGTCGTGTGCACCGCTGCCTGTGGCTCTGCGGGGCCCTGGCCTCAGTGCAGCCCTCCTCCTGCGCCTCACAGGATTCAGACACGCCACCCTGCACGACGCCCAGCGTGTACCAGTTCAGCCTCCAGGCACCGACCCCTCTGCTGGCCAGCCTGCCCGCCGCCTTGCCTGTGCCGGGCAGCAAACCTCAGCCCGCTACGTCCAGAACGCTGGTTGTGACAACTAACACTCAGGTACACAGCTGGCCTGTGCCCTCCCAGGTGACGGCCCCGGGACCCTGTCCAAGCTCCTGCGCGTACTGTAGGACGGGCTGATCCTTTTGAGTTAGAAAAAGAACTTTAAACTCTTTGGAGGGTGCGTTTCTCTCTGTGGGAAGGGCTCTTGTGTGGTGGTTTATTGGAATGTGAACCCTCTCGTTCTGTGAAAATCCACGCTGTGGAGGTTCACTGTTCACCGTGCTGGTTCCTGGGCACCGAAATGGCTTTTGACAAGGTCCAAATTGTCTTTCTGGAAATTACATGTTGCCCAGCGTGAGACCTCTGTCCTGGGATTGTGTGGGAGAGAGGGGCTCCGATGCTGTCCCTGGGCAGAAACGGACACCTGTCCTTGCTTCCCACTGAGAATCTGTTTGCACTCTTCCTCAGTTTTGATACAAACTTTGACTTTTCCATGTTGTTCATTAGGCGGTATTTATAGGGCTCTTTCTATTAGAATATGTCCTCTTTTTTAAAATATAGACAAAATTTGAGTCTAAAATGTAATTGTAAACATTTAAAATTTTGTATCTACATCCCAAATGTGTATCAATTGCAAATATATAAAGCCATCGTATTAATTTGCTTTGCAGCATGGGTTATAACGTGGGCTTAGTAATGAAAATCCATGTGCAACATCAGCTCTCTGTCCTGGGAGGCTAGTCTCGGGACACACCCCAGGTTGTGGCGGGCCCGAGTGTAGCCGCCGGGGACACGCAGTGGCGGCTAGCAGAGCCCCACCAGACACTGCGTGAGCGTGAAAGGCCGAGGCGGCTGCCTGCGCTGTGAGCTGAGTTTCGCCGCAGGGAAGCCCTGGCTCTGGGCTTCCTCAGGCTCAACTTGTCGGAGCACTGCGTGCGGCTGCTCCCGCGCGGGTGTCGGGCACAGTCCGGGGCCACGTGTTGGGCTGTGGTGCCATCAGTCAGCTGCACTAACAGCCAGTGAGGCGAAAGCTAAGATCATCCAAGCTCTAAAACAAGGCTCAAAGCCCACTTTCTTATTTTATTTCCAGACTTCAAACGTTACTTCTAGTCAAGTGAGTGAGTGAAATCCCACCCGAAAACCTTAGGGGCGCAGTGCCCCATGGGGCTCGCGAAGCAGTGAGGTCACTGCTCAGGGCGAAAGAGGGGGCTTAGAGCTGGGGGGCACGAAGCTGTCAGAGAGCCCGGGAGTGGGCTCTTTGCAGCCACTTGTGCCCAGGAGAGGCTGAGGGGTCCTGGGGCCCCGGGGATGTGGGGAAGGGTGAGGACAGGGTGCCAAGTGTGCCCCGAGGCCCAGCTCCTGCTGTGCCCGTGGTCCTGGGAGGCACAGCCGCTCTGCAGAGGTTTTTGGGGTAAAGGCATATGATTCTGAGACGTGAGCAGTGAGGTTCTCGAAGGTCTGAGGAGAGGGCTCGCGCCCGCACCTCCGCACATGACGGAGCCACGATGCAGGAGGGGGGTTGGGAGCTGGAGGCAGTCATCCTGGCCGTGGGCCTGGGCTCGGGCCTCTAGCCCTGCGTGGGCGGTGGTGGCTCTTCCCGGAGATCTGAGGCCCAGTGGTTACTCTGGCGACTGTCATTTTTTTTAATTGTTTGGTCTTCAGAGACTGTTAAGCCTTATGACCTGGGTGACTGGGCACCCTTGGCACTGTCCTTGCTGTTGTGAGTGCATGTTTCTGAGTCAGAACACAGGTTGCGAGGTGAGAGTGGGCCCACGCTAACGAGCCTGTTTGCTCGTGGCGAGGACGCGGTGGTGTGCTGTGTCGGGTGGTGCCTCACGGATGTCACGGTCCTTCTGCTCCCAGACCAGGTTCACTATACCTCCACCAGCACTTGGGGTGGCCGCCGTCCCCTGTAGACAAGCTGGCATCGAAGGGACTCCGGCGCTGAAAGCCGTCCACCACGTGTCTTCCCCGGCCATCCCGTCTGCGTCTCCCAACCCGCTCTCCAGCCCCCACCTGTATCATAAGGTACGTCTGGTCCACCCAGGCCCTGCGCTCTGACCAGGCGGGCTCGTGGTAGGCCGGTGCTTAACGCTTCTCCACCAGAGAGGGAATCCCACAGAGAGATTTTTCAAAGGGAGTTTGTTTTCTGGTCATTCAACTTCCTGTTTGCTTTCCCTTGTAAGAAACAAAACTTTACAAGTGTTAGGAAATTATTTTAAAATTTAATGTAGTTAAATTCATTTCTGTAAACATCTCTCTTAATTCTTCTGTTGCGCTCGTTAGCATAGAAGTTAAATTGGAAGTGAAGAATATTTTGACTTCCCACTTAACTGTTAATTTACACGCTAAAAACTTTGGTTTTCAAGAAGCGACCAGTGAAACCAGAATGATGGCCGTGTGGAGTGCTGTCGCCCCCAGCGCCAGTCCCTCCTGTCCCGTCACTCCCTCCTGTCCCCCCGAGTCACTCCCTCCTGTCCCCTGGCATCACTCCCTCCTGTCAACGTCACTCCTTCCTGTCCCCTCAGCGCCACTCCCTCCATACGGCTGTGGGGGCCCCCAGGCAGATTTGAGGCCCGGAGGTCTCTGTGAACACGTTCATCCATTGCCCTGTGGCTTCTCTAAGTCCAGATCCCACATGTTAGAAACTTGTGTATCAGGAAAATGGGTCATTATCAAGACACTGGGCTCTCCAAGCGCCAGGGTATTTGGAAGAACTGTGAGTGGCGTCCTGGCGTGTGGGAGTCCAGGTGTGCTGTCTGAAGGCCCAGGGCCTTCCCCGGGCTCTGATGGCACTAGGCCACCTCGTGACTCCGGCCGGTGCCCCCGTTGCTTGTCTGATTATACTCTGCCAGTAAGTTTTCGGTCCCTGAGGGTTGGCTCCTTGGACTTAGGACATTAAGTCCTGATAACTTTCTTACTTGGGGCTACGTAATAGAACGTTCCTTCTTGGCTTTGTCCATCCCGTCACAGCCTGAGTGTGAGGCTGACCTGTTCGAAGTGCTCAGGATGAGAGTAAGACTTTGCAGAGAGCGAAAGCACTCTCCCTGACGGTGCTCTGGTTTTGCTCTGAAGCCTTCCCCAAACCAGCTGCGTCTTCCCGTCTGCTCTGCGTGGGGCTCGGCAGCATGTGGAGAACTCTTGTGTTCCTAGAATGTCACAGTCAAAGTCGGGGGGAGATAAGGAGAGGGGCCCTTTTCTTTCTGTGGACAAGGAGAACCAGGCGGAAGTGAGATGCTAGGTGCATTTGGACGTGAATGCATGGAGTTTGAAAGGGGCCCACAGTTCTCACGTCGACGGAGCCACTGTGAGATGTCAGAGGTCGGCTTTCTGTCGGCGTCTCCGTGTTGCCTGGTGTGTGCGCACGTGTAACACGGTGCTGACGAGACCGCGTGGCCCGTGTGCTGCGCTGAGCGCGTGCCCCCCGAGGTTTCCACCTCCCGCACAATGGACGCGCTCCTGCTCCGAGCCCAGCAGGAGCCGGTGGGGCGGGTTTCCACCAGGTTGGGGGGGTGTCTGTCCAGTCCGGCCACCAACCCTGCTGTCCTTCTGTGCTTTGCAGCAGCACAGCGGCATGAAGCTGTCCATGAAGGGCTCCCACAACCACAGCCAAGGTGGCAGCTACAGCTCTGTGGGCAGTGGAGGTGTGCGGCCTCCCGTGGGCAACCGGGGACACCACCAGTATAACCGCACCGGCTGGAGGAGGAAAAACACACACACACGAGGGACAGCCTGCCCGTCAGTCTCAGCAGATAATAGCTCTGGGCACCGCCGCCTGGCCCCACCCTCCGCAGACCGCAGCCGGGTGGCCTTGCGCCCGGCTGGGACCTGAGACCAGCATCCAGCCCGCCAGCCCGGGCCTCACGCCCGCTGCTGATCACTCTGCATGTTCCTTGTGTGGTGGTCACGTCCATCTTAAAAGAACAGCTCCTTGTGCTCATCTGTGAAGCCTTATTAGACGTGGACGCTGTTTTCTGCCTTCCCAGGATTCTCCCTTCAGTGCCGGAGCGGGGCTGGGCCAGGAACTGCGGGGACGGGCCGTGGGCCTGGGCACTTCTCGGTACTGTGTCTTGTCCTTTGCGTCGGGTACTTTGATTTCACATCAGAGCAACGGAGATCAGACCCCATCCCCCTTGGGAGGTCCTCATTGTTTTACTGCCCGCACATTTTGTTTCAGATTTCAGGACTGTTTTTCTATGTAAATATTGAAAACTTATGATTTGTGCAATAACTCAGATATTTTTTATTTAATTTCATATTTTCACATAAGTTATATTTGAGGGAGGAGGGAGTTTTTTTAAACATGCTGAGATCCTTTCCCAAGTTGCATTTTCTAAGTTGGGTTCATCATGTCGGCTGGTTGTCTGATGAGCATCGTTGCCAACACCACGAGTGAGGGGCTTGGGGCTTATTTTCTGTTCCTTCTTTTGGTCAGACGTGAGGCCTCTCAGCTTGTGGTGAAGGAGCTGTGTCCCCCCGCGGGTGTCCAGAGGGGTGCGGCTCCAGCGCCTCTGACCAGCTGCCCGCCGGCTCTGCCGTCCGGCCTGTCTGTGTCTCGCTGTGACCACGGGGTTTTAACGTTTTGGATTTTGTTTCTTTTAAACTAGACAACAGATCCAGCATTTAAAGTGCCAGAGTATAACTTTCTAAGGAGAGGAAAGATTGTCACATTATAAAATCTTAAAAAAAAATGTGAACTTTGTCAGTTTTAGTAACAGAGCCTGTAATGTTGGGTCTGGTGAGTATCAGTATGGACAGTGGTACCCAGTTTTAGGAATGTGGAGAAAGGAATTATGTTGATTCCATTGTGGAATCTGTAGCAGTAGCATTCGTTCTGTTAAGAGCAAATACATGAGAAGAGCTTGAGCTGCTCAGTGCACCGTGGGGGTTAACGTGTCTCAGGAGAGCCCAGCCCAGGTCGGGCCGGAGTGGCCGTGCCCGACGTGAGCCGCACACGGGTGTGCTGTGCAGGTGTGTCCTGCCACGACAGCCACTGTCTGTTCCCACTTCTGAACATGCATCTGTCCACCCCGCCTCACCTTGAGTTTTCGGAGCACTGCAGTTGTCCTGGGAGTTAGGTGCCCTGCCTCCCGGGCTTGGCACCGGGGTTCTGGCCCTGCTGAGCACTGCAGGTGGGCTGGTCTTTGAAGTCCACCGGTGGAGGCGGCTGGGATGGGAAGCTTGCTACACGAGCCCTGATTGACGAGCGGAGTGGGGAGTGCTGGGGGTCCAAGCGCGACGGACACCCAGCGAGGACCAGTGCTTGCCCTGCCGGCGGGCTGCCCGAGGGAAGCGGGCCCGGCCCACACGCCCTGAGAGCTGTCGCCGCGCCTGCTGGTTCTAGGAGGCGCCTGGAGCAGAGTGGCACACTCCGTCTGTGGTTCTTGATGATTGAAGGTTATCAAAAATATTTAAAGATATTTAAATTGTGAACCTATTGATAAAGAAATATTTATAAAAACTGATACGTAGGCCTGTACTAATCTCTACACATTAGCAATATTGACTATAGCCCTCCATTAAGGAAACGCTGCGGGGACGGAGGCGGGTGCCTGTGGGGGCCCCCTGCGATTCCCGGTCCCAGACGCGGGCGCCAAGCTCCAGTCCCGCCACGGTGAACGGATGAATTGGCCCGGCCGCCCTGTGGCCACGTGCTGCAGGCTGAACAAGATATCATGTTTCGATTTTTTTTTGTGTGTGGACAACAATGTGGAAGCTAAAATTGACATATTTTTATGTAAAGTTTTTCTATTCTTTGATTTTTAATAAACTTTGGAAACCAGGTGGTGCTTGTGCTTGAGTGGGTCGTTCCTTTCAAGGGGAAGGGAGGTTCCTGCGGTTTTCATTCTTGACTTCTCTAAGTTAGGGCAGCGCCACCTTTGGTTCAGTGAATTCAGAACCTGGTTGAGGCTGCAGGCTGGGTCCGGGGTGTCAGAGCCGAAGCAGGACGCGTGCTGTCGCGGCTTTGCTGACGGGGCATCAGTCACTTCGCTGATACTCCTTCCTTGCAGCTTCTGACACGCCCATGTGACCCTGTGCACTGTGACCCCCAACGAAGCGTTCATTTCTCCTGCATCTCTTAGGTCAGCATAATTATGTCACTTCAAAATAATGCATTTTAAACCACCAAACAGCCATGATGTGGCTTAAAATGTGACTCTTGATTAGAATTTGTAAGGAAGTTTGTAAACAGCCTGACACCAGTGAGGGAGCTACTCGTCTAGAGGCTGAGCTCTGCCTTCAGTGAAGCCACGTGGCTGAGGTGCGGGGTGACCGAGCTCTCCCCAATGCTGCATTCCGTCCAGAACCTCAGAACCCGAGTGCTGGAGACACTGATGTCCTAAAGTTCCCAGAATGGTATGTCGTGGCCACTTTTGGTGAGACGTCTGTGACTCGAGGCAGGCGCTGGTTCTTGAGCCCGTGTTGGCAGAGTCCTGAGCGCATGTCCATGGTGAAGGGGTGTCGGCAGCGGAGGCCCAGTCCACGTCTGCTCAGAGAGCAGCTGGAGCAGTGTGGTTCACACGGGGACACTCAGACCAGGGATGGTGGTCACAGCCCAGCTCGGTGACACGATCATGTGCACTGGCCATGGGCTCCTTTGCACACCGCCCGGAGCCCCGCTAGGTCTCCGACATCCCCAGAGAAACCGCTGAGCTCAGGCTGAACCTGAGTGTTGAGGGTGCATCTGGGGCCACCCTGGTAGATGTGTTTAAACAGTTAACGATAAAACCACTTGAACTTGTTTTTCGTGGCCAACGTTTGTATCATAAGATGCTGGTCTTCATAAAGACAGACCCTGGAAAAGTGTGTGGTGACGGTTTAAGCACTCGCTCTGGTCCCAGCTTCTGGTCTTTTTAGCTCTCTCCACTTACCCTGCTGAACACTGGGGCCTCTCCTGTCCCGTCTTCTTCCTCTGCCCCGTGCCTCCTTGCCCATCCGGCTACGTGGCCCTTGCTTCATGTGTACGCAGGCCCTTGTCCAGTCCCTCTCTGCTGTCTCTCAATTGCGTTCTCCTTGCAAGACCCCCACCCGGGATTCATGCCCCTGCTGATCCCCTGGCACGGCGTGCAGGGTCAGGGATATTGTGGGGTCAGCCAGTACCAGGCAGGGCCCCGTAGAGATGAGGCTGACGTTCTGAGCACTTAGTCGCCTGGGTCATTCCTGTGATACCAGGGGCCTGGCGGGCCATCAGCGCTGTGGTCCCATCCCCAGGTGAGTAAGTGGAGGCACCGAGGTTAAGAAGCTCAGCCAAGGTCATTCAGCAGGGTGGCACACAGCTCCCCGTGCCCTCTGCGTTCAGGTGCTCCTTCCCGCTTTCCAGCCACTCAAACCCCCTCTAGTTTAAGTTCACAGCCTCACCTCCCTGCTCCCTCACTTCCCTCTCAGATGTGGCCTTGCCTCCCAGTGTCACAAAGAAAGCCCCACCCCAGGGCACTGCCCGACACTGTAGATAAACACCTAGGGAGCTCTGCCCATCCTGGCCAGAGACCGCCTTGCAGGGGCCCACTTATCCTTGTCCTCTGAGCCCTCCGTCCGGTCCCCCCAGCCTCCAAACCTTCCAGGTCTCATCTCCCTCTGGCAGCCTCCTTGCCTCCTCTTCTTGAACCAGCTGCCGCAGGGGCTGTCTCTACCCTCCCACCTCCTACTGGGCCACATCCAAGCGGTCTTTGCTGTGTGCCCCTCGAGGCCAGGCCCCTCAAGGCAGGACCCCCACGATGCCATGAAACCTCGGGGTCCACCTCAGCCCTGCTTCTCTTGGGCAGGGCACAGGACACCCACCGTCCACAGCCTCCACACCATTTTCTCTGCATTTCCCAGCTCTACCTGTGCCCGCTGGATTTCCCACAAGCATCTGCCAGGCCCCGGAGCGCACTGGCCCCTCCCCTCCACTTGGGTCCTCACCTGCTCCTGGGGCAGCCCTGTCAGCCTTCCTCCACCATCCTGCCTCGTCCAATGGACCTCCCTCGGCCCCTAAATCTGCTACCTGCACCTCCTCAGGAACTAGACCCATCTGTTCTCCCTCACCCTGGCCACCTGGGCTCGCCCCTCCCTCCACGGAGCTGCTTCACTGGTCTTTCAAAAACACAGCCTGGGTGGTGATGGAGGCTACAGCTCAGTGGCAGCCTGCTCAGCCTGCATAAGGCCCTGGGTTCAGTCTCCAGCACAATCAATCAGTCAATCTAATTACCTCCCCTATGAAAAAAGAGAAAAAGATAGAATTAAAAAAAACACCCTCAACCCCATCTCTGCTCCCGAAATCCCAGGGTGTCTCTCTGGGGGCCTCAGAGTGGCCTTCCCCACTGTATTATTACCCCCCCACACCCGACTTTTCTCTCCCTACTGCCTGAATTATTACCTACCTTGATTTATTTTACCCAGCTCTTGTTTAGGAAGGAAAAGATACCCCTTCTTCAGTGGCCTGGGGCTGACCCCCCTGCAGAGCGTACAAATGCTGCCGAGCTGGCCAAAGCGCCGGGTCCTGGGCCGGCCTCGGGAGCGGCCCTGGGGTCCCTGCCCCCGGTGCAGAGAGAAGCTGTCCCTCCTCCCGGTTTGGG